CGAACCTGCCACCTTAGGTGTACGTGGCTGGCGCCTTAGCCGGTTGAGCTATAGGCGCCAAGCCAAGAGACAGAATTTCATTCTGTCACCTAGGCTGGAGGACATGATCATAGCTCACTCTAGAATTTCTGAGGTCAAGCAATTCTCTCACCTCGGCTTCCCAAATAATTGGGACTATAAATTTTTTTTGTAGAAACAGGGTCTTGCTATGTTGCCCAGGTTGGTCTCAAATTCCTGGCCTCTGGTGATCCTCCCACCTAGGTCTTCCAAAGTGCTGGCATTATAGGCATTATAGGCCACAGCATCCAGCCAATATGGTCTTATCCATAGAAAACCCCAAAGTGTCACCCTAAAGCTGTCAGAACTAATAAATGAATTTAGCAATACAGGATACAAAATCAATACTCAAAAAGTTGTATTTCTACACTAACAATGAACAACCCCAAAAAGGAAATTAACATAACAATTCCATTTGCTACAACATCATAAAGAACAGGACTAGGACTAGAGCAAAGAGGAAGAGTCTTGAATACTGAAAATTAAAATATAGCAATGAAAGAAATTACAGCAGACATCAATAAATGAAGATAGTCCATGTTCATGGACTAGAAGACCTAATATGAGCGCAACAATTAAGTCAGTGAACTTGCCACCACAGACTCATGTTGCAGCACTGTACAAACAACCTGGTAGATCAGTATCTCAGTTGTGTTTGTGTTGATGTGTGGCAGTGTCTTGCTGAGTGACGTTCACAATTATTGTTTTTTGTGTGTGTGTGCCATCACAAGAATATCAGAGCTTGAATTAGATCAAGGCACAAACATTCATTAATTTCTTGTTAAACTTGGAAAGAGGGGAGATAAAATCAAGGGCAATGTTTATGGAGATAATGTCATGCAGAAAACAAATGGATTAAATGTTTTTCTGAGGGGAAAGAAAGTGTCACTCATGAAGAGAGGTTATGGTAACCAATAACCAGCAGAACTGACAAAAACATTGCAAAACTTCACCAAATTGTGCATCAGAATCATTGGCTGACTGTGAGAAGCATAGCAGACCCAGTAAACACTGATGGAGAGACAGGGAAATCTTCACTGAGTATCTTGGCCAATGCTCGTGGCTCTCGCGTCACAATAATGTACCAGCTCACACAGCACTGTCTGTGAGGAAGTTTTTAGCCAGTAAAGAACTAGAGTACTAGAATACCTTTCCTACTTCACCTGATCTGGCCCTCAGTAACTTTTTCCTTTACCCCAAAATATCAGGAATATCAAAAGGAAGACTTTCTGATGACATTTAGCACATCAAGGTAACATGGTGATGGCTTTTATGGCCATTCCAGAAAAAGAGTTCCAAAATAGCTCTGAAGGGTGGACTAGGCACTAGCTAGTCCAAGGTATCAGCAATGAGGTAAACTGTCAGACCTCATATTGCTAAGATGTTATTAACACCCTCAGCACAATCTATATATTTAGTACACTTCCTATCAAAATCCTATGTGTGTATGTGCATGTGTGTTTCCCCCACAGACACAGTGACAAGCTGTTCCTATAGATAAGCTGCAAGGGGGCAGCCTCTTAATATTGTAGTGTTGAGGGGCAGCGCCTGTGGCTCAGTGGGTAGGGCACTGGCCCCATATACTGAGGGTGGTGGGTTCAAACCCAGCTCCAGCCCAACTGCAACAAAAAATTAGCCAGGCGTTGTGGCAGGCGCCTGTAGTACCAGCTACTCCGGAGACTGAGGCAAGAGAATCACCTAAGCCCAGGAGTTGGAGGTTGCTGTGAGCTGTGTGATGCCATGGCGCTCTACCAAGGTAATAAAGTGAGACTCTACCTCTACCAAAAAATCCCCAAAAAACATTGTAGTGTTGAGCTAGGTGAGAATGCCCCATAATTCATGGGCATTCAATCCACATGCAATTCCTTCCTTCTGGTGTAGGGAAAATTCTGTATGAATCCTAAAATTCACTTGGAATCTCAAGAACACCAAAATAATACTGAAAAAATACAAAGTAGGTCTCACACTTTCTACAAAGCTGCAGTAATCAAACAGTATGGCACTGGATCAAGACAAACACACAAACTGATGGGACAGAGACTCCAGAGAGAAGCCTCACACGCGGTGTGTGACTGTCCCCCCTCAGGACCATTCAAAGGGGGGAAAGACAGTTCTAACAACCGATGCTGAGACAAGTGGAACTCCATATGCAAGATAATGAAGATGGACCCTTACCTAACACCATATATAAAAACCAACTCAAAATGGATCAAAGACCTAAACTTTAGAGGCAAAATGATAAACTCTTAGAAGAAAGCACAGAGGAAAAGCTTCAAGACATTGGATTTGGCAACAGTTTCTTGGATATGAGATGAAAAGCATAAGCAACAAAATAAGAAAATGAGTTGCATTACATCAAAATTAAAAAAATTTTTCTGTATCAGGGTAGTGCCTGTGGCTCACAAGGGTAGGGTGCTGGCCCCATATGCCGGAGGTGGTGGGTTCAAACCCAGCCCTGGCCAAAAAAATAAAAAATAAAATAAATAAAAAAATTTCTGTATCAAAGGGCTAGGCACAGCACCTCATGCCTATAATCCTGGTATATATTTTGAGAGGCCAAGGTGGGAGGCTCGCTTGAGGGCAGGAATTCAAGATCAGCCCGAGCAACACAGTAAGGCTCCCCCTTTACAACAATTAGCCAGGCTGCCAGTACACACCTCCAGTGCCAGCTGCTCAGGAAGCTGAGGCGGGAGAACTGCTTGGCCTAGGTGCTCAAGGCTGTGATGATACTACTGCACTCGGCCCAGATGAGACTCTGTCTCAAAAACAAAACAAAAAAACAAACGAACACTGTCAACATAGTGAATAGGCAACCGACCGAAAGGGAAAAAATATTTGCGAATCATATACGCTATAAGGTTAACATCCAAAAATATATAAAGAACTTACAATTCAACAACAAAAACCCTGAAGCTGATTACAACATGGGCAAAGGACTTAATAGACATTTCTTCAAAGAAAATATACAAATAGCCAATAAACATAAAAAAAAGATGTTCAACATCAGTAATCATTAGGGATATGAAAACCAAGAAGCCACAGTGGGATACCACTTTGTACCCCTTATGAGAGCAATTATAAAATAAATTATTACCATATGACCCAGTGATCCCACTGCTGAGTACACATCCAAAAGAAGTGAAAGCAGAGATTCAACAGATATTTGTATGTTCATGTTCATAACAGCATTTTTCACAGCAGGCAAGAGGGAGAAGCAACTTAAGCGTCTACCAACAGGACAATAACAAAATGTGGCCCATCCATACAATGGAATATGTTTTATTTATTTGTTTATTTATTTATTTTTGAGACAGAGTCTCACTTTGTTGCCTTAGTAGAGTGCCAAGGCATCATAGCTCACAGCAACCTCAAACTCCTGGGCTCAAGTGATTCTCTTGCCTCAGACTCCCAAGGAGCCCAGCTATTTTTAGAGACGAGGTCTTGCTCTGGCTCAGGCTGGTCCTGAACCTGTGAACTCAGGGCAATCCACTCACTTCGGCCTCCCAAGGTGCTAGGATTACAGGTGTGAGCCACTGCTCCCAGCCTGGAATACATTTTAGTCTTAAAAAGGCAGGCAATTCTGACACATGCCACAAGGAATGAGCCTTGAAGATATTATGTTAAGTCAAACGAGCCAGCCAAAACAACACAAATATTTTACAATTTTGCTTATAAGGGGCACACAGAGCAGTCAAATTTGTAGAGACAGAAAGTAGACTGTGGATGCCAGGGACTGGGGGAGGGGATGGGGGAGTTAGTGTTTAATGGGGACAAAATTCCAGTTTGGGAAGACAGAAAAATTCTGGAGATGGATGGTAATGATGGCTATAGAATAATGTGAATATACTTAATTGAATTCTTTGAAATGGTTTAAATGGTAAATTTGTCATTAATGTCATGTATATTTTAACCATAGTAAAATGAAAAAAAAGAAGAGAATGTGATCAAAAGAATCAGAGAAAGTGGATATTACAGGGATGAAGGTGTAAACTGAGAAGACAATAACATTAAGATCTAATAAATAGGCTCAGCTAGGGCGCCAGCCACACACACCAG